GTGATATGGTTCCTTGTCTACATCACAAAATAGAAGACCAGGAACCCACTACAAAATAAGTCTCTTGTATGACCTATAGCTGGGCCCCTGGGGAAATATTATACCTTCAAGTGTTGTGCATTAATTGCTGTTCAAGGTGGACTAGGACTAGCTTGAAAATGTTTTTTTTTTTTAAGGATAGTGAAACTTTTAATTCATGAGGTTTTTCTCACTTATTAATTTAGTCTCTCAAATTTAATTTCTATCAATTGAGTCCCTTAAATTTATTTTGATTATTAATTTGATCCTTATTTTTAAATAAAAAGATTACATTGTTAAAGTTTGCTAATTTATATAATTGAATACTTATGGAAGCCATATAAATTAATGAAAATGAGTATAATTATTTTGGTAGGGAAAAAAGATTCTAAAATTTGTAAAAAAAGACAGAGAGAACAAATAAAACAAATTGTGAGGAATTATTTTGGTAAAAGTTAAATTCATTTGAGTGTTAATCTGTTCTCATTTAGCTACATATATATGTCAAATAATCAATCTCTTTTATACATTAGATTAGATTATTTTGAAAGTCAATTTGTGTTTTAAAATTTAAAGTGCTCACATGATAATTTTAGAAAACATAAGAGATCAAATTGATAAAAAAAAATTAAACTTAAAGGATCAAATCAATAACTGAAATAAATTTGAGGGATTAAAAGTTACATTATTTTTTTTTTAAAATAAGGTATGATCAAAGGAGATGTCAGATCCACTCTTTTGTCTTTCTCATTTTTATTACAGTATAATGTTCCTCCAATCATTGAAAAAGGATCTATCCATCACAAGGTTGACCTTGTGAAGTCCCATAATGTCACTCCCTCATTCGCACAATGTTATATTGTACCAAACCCATATATAATGGGTGAGTGAGTCTGCCACTCTATGTGAACTTTCATTTTCTTCCTCTTTTTTTCTTTTTTATATTGAATGGAGGCCTTTCATACATGCAAGGGTCGAGAGAAAAATCACACAGATCTTTAGAAGTAAGAAGTAATACTTAGATCATGATGAATTGTAAACAATCTAATATGACTTATGTTGAGCACTGGATGTTGATAGTGCAGAAGCCACTTATTATAATAGAATTTCAGATTTAAAAATAATACCAAAAAAAAGCCAATATATAATATAACTTACTTCTTTTAGCATAAGCTAACTTCGGTAATGCCAAATTTTATTGGGAGAATTATGTTAAAATCTTACACAAGAAAATTAATTGCTACAACACTGGCCTTAGTTCAATTGTTAATGAACTTTGTAATAATTAATGTTCTTGTGTGGAACTTATATGTAATTTTTTCAATTTTGTTTCATTGAGACTTAAAATTAAACTTTCATTTCTAAAATATTAAACTCAACCTATCATATCTTTAATAGGAGCATTGTTAGAGGAAGTATGGAGCTCTTGGACCTTCTGTGTGCTGCCAATCAAAGAAGGGAATGAAGAAAAGCTGAGATGGAAGTCCATGAAGCCAAGCAAGTGTGCACCTTGGAACTGCTCATGTGTTGAGTAAACTTTGATCAACCAGAACATTGTTTTCAGGGTTTTCAAACTTTTTGATGGTTTCGTTGGCAATTTGATTGTTTTTGTGTTGCATGATGTTGAAGAAAGCTTGGCTTGTTGTTATTAAGGGGCTTGGAAACCAAGTTGATGAAGATGACTACAATATTAATTAAGAAGAAAAGACTCATCTTTTTTATTGTTATTTGACTTTGATCCAATTTGACTAATCATTCCACAACTTAATTAGTTCTTTAACTTCGTCTACAATCCATGTTAAATTTTTCTTTATTAAGTATGCTTAAAGATAGTTTACTTCATCAAAATAACTTAAGCTAGTTGATTAGACACATTCCAAACTTCATATATTCATACTCTATATATTTTCTAATTTCTATACGTGAGACTTCTTTTATTTCTAATATTTTTCTACTATTTTTTTTTCAATTTCTTTTTCTTCTTGCCTAAGCTTGTACTTTATATATTCAATTTTTTTGTCTATTTTTTGTACAAAAAGTTGGACACGCATTAACAGTGTCACTCCTTTTTCACTTTAACTCACATCTAGAATGCCCAAACTCCAACAAATGTGCCAAAATTAAAGTGTCATGCCCCAAAAATAGAGGGTGACCGGCACAGGATGTGAACCACCACACATCCCTTAAGCCTTAAATTGGGTAGTCTTTCCATGACTAAAACATAATTATGCTTTAGTTTGAATTAGAACATGCATAAATATTTTTGGTATTAATAAAATATTTCAATATTTTTGTAGAAATTTTAGCAGAACCTCCTCTATAAATAGAATCTACCAAAAATTTTACAATACAATATCTCAATAAAAAATATCAAGTCAATCAGGAGCAGAATTCCTTCCAGCCAGCAGACAAATATATAACAATATAAACAACCTAGCCACAGGCTATGTGGAACACCTAACAACAGACAAATAAAATTTCATAATTAAAACTTTACATCAAGAGAAAGTTTAACCGTTGGCTCCTCCACGTCTAGGCAATCATAAACTCCTCAATGTTTAGTAGGTGTTTCAACGTTAGCTACACTATTTGAGACCAAAATTATTTCCAGTGAATAACGTCCGAAAAATAAATAATTAAACATGAATAAAAGGAAAGTTAAAAGAAATTATGTAAATTAAAAAAACACAACTATCTCCATGAAGATTTAAATAAATTCAAAATAAAAGGATTCTATATAACTTTAAATGAAATCTTAAGCCATTAAATTGTCATATCAAATATTGTTATCCCTTGATTTCAAGGAAGAAAATAAATGAAATGAGTAACTATAAATAGATTACTAATTAAAAATCAATAGGATATGAAATCATTAAATAATCAAATTTATTTTTTATGGAGACTTGTCAGAACAATTAACAAATGTGGACACACAGTCCACGAGAGCAAGTAACCAGACGTGGCCAAAATCACAAAACAGACGTGGACACACAGTTCATGAGGGCAAGTAACCAAACATGGCCAAAGCCACAAAACAGACATAGGTACAAGACCCACGAATAACAGACGTAAGAACAGAGCTCATGAAAATCAAACTAGCTAGTTATTGACCATAGCGCGCTAAGAGCTAACGAAACTGCCATTAGCAACTAGTGTTCTATATGCAGTCCTATTTTAAATTCACTTTCAGACATACGAGAAAATCATCACTTCAAAGATATAATTTCTCCTTTCAATATCAAACTCGCATGAAACATACACAAACATTAAATTTTTCCAAATATGAAAATTCATAACCAATATCTTATAAACTATTTATCAAATTTCATATTTGGCTTTATCAAATTAAGGATTAATAGAATTTGTAAAAGCATTTTTCGTCAATCTAAAAAGTATAAATCATGATTTCAAGAAATAGATAATTTAATTAACAAGAATAGCTAAAGCAAAAAAAAATGTATACATATCTGTAGATTGTTAAAAACAATATTTTGACAAAGAAAATTTTCTAACATATAAAATGATTGGAACGTTATCCACTTACTTGAAGTATTCTCAAAATTCAAAGTTTTGCTTCTTATCACTTCAATCGAGTTTTTCTTCCTCCAAACATCCTATAGAATCATAATAAAGTTTTTTTATATTAAATACTCAACTAATATAATAGTTCCTTTTCAATCTTACCACCACCAATGTTAGATTATAATACATTTGAATCTTCAAAAATTCGAGGCTTTACATCACTTAAAAAAATTCTCATTTACATTTTTTGTCAAGGCACCAAATACACAAACACACACACACACACTCTTCTAACCCTCTCATAAAAACTCTAGTATTCAAATATTTCATCAATGAACTATCCACCTCCAATGATTCAATTAATCACATGTTATTGATTTCATAGGCAAATCTCCTTAGCAACTTTTAAGTTAAATTTCATAGATTAATAACAGTTAAGTTATCTATACTTTTCACAAGAATTAATAAAATTTTAAAAATATTCAAAATCAAGTTAAATTTCTTCTAACAAGCATTTTAACAAACATCTTATAAGTAGTAATCTCCAAGTTTCATGTCTAAGTCCTTCTATCCTAATCTAATCCTAACCAATTCTTCAACCTCAACTAGTCCAAATAAAATTCAATTTAGCTCAAAATTCTAACCCATATATATTATTATCAAACTTTAAAATAATTTTATAGCTTAATCTCCATTTCCTCCTCCCTACCCAGCTCAGCAACAGCAGATTTCCAAAAGAAAAACAAAATGCAATTTCAATAATGTTATATCACACCTCACACGCACTGGTTAATCTAGAGAAAGAAGAAGAAAAAATCAAGGCTGCTCAATTAATATGAACCGGCGATACATGAAGAAAGAGAAGGAAACAGAACCTTAACTGAATAGGGGAGGAAAAGGAAGAAATGAAATTAGCAACACCAGACCAAGCAGGAAAAAATTTGCGACCAGCACCTCCAACCCCAATGACTTGATTCCTCACAAACACCAACTACACGGACGTGAATGGTGAGAACAGAGCATAACGAGGAAAACAAATAAGGATGAGGAGGATGACGGAGAGCTGAGCGTTGCAAGATAGTGATGAACACCCACAGTTGCCGGCGACACCAAGGACGATGGAGGGAAGTGGAGATTGAGTGATGAAGGTGAGGGTTTTGCCTCTCTTTGTCTCTCTGGCTGCTGAACACGAAAGTGAGGGAAAACCAAGGTACTGAAAACCGGCCCGACCATTGAACCGGTCAAGGTTGGGGGTCAGGGGTCAGGGGTTCAACCGCGGGTCAACCCGGATTCAAACCGGACATAATAAAATAATATGATTTAAATAAAAATAAATTCTCTAAGACTTAATATCTTATATAATATCACATACAAGTCCAAGATAATCATCAAAACATCATTAAAAACACAACATTTAAAATATTCATCCTTACAATCCTTTAATCATCAAAAATCTAAAGCTAATAATAATCAACACCAAAATCCTCATTAATTTCATTCAAATCTCCGGGAGTAAGGATTGAAACATTAGGAGATGATTGAGAGAAACCAGAACCACTTCCAACATCATCATTCAAATGTGGATGCTCTGAAATATTCATATCTTCTTCCCCTATTGATGACAAAATTAACATTAATCATTGTGTAAAAAATAATTATATATTATGCAATATAGACATGTTAGTAAGTATGAACCTTCATTATTTCTCTCAGAAGCTGATGAAGCTACAACATTCTCATTATGCATAGCACTTTCCAAATTAGTGACATCATCAGCATCAAACTCAGGAGCTGGCTCTTGTTCCTCTTCAGCAATCCAAAAGTCCAATTTGTCAATAGATTCATAATCAATTGGATCAAAACTTGTCTTTTTCTTCAATTGGCTCCTTTAATGAGATCAAAACAATCAAATATAAGAATATATCTACCATGAGATAGTAATAAATTTTTATTTATTAAAAACATTCATAACTTTTATTTTTATTACCTATTCTTCAATCGTAGATTGTAGTTTGTAAAGACTAAATCATTTAGTCTTTGATGTTCCAATCTATTTCTTCTTTTGGTATGGATGCGTTCAAACAAGCTCCAATTTCTCTCACAACCAGAAGAGGAAGAAGTTTGGCTAAGAATACGCATTGCAAGATTTTGCAACTCTGGAACAGAACTTCCATAAAACGACCACCATTCATCTGCAAATAAAAGAGAATTAGTTATATGTTATATGATAAATAAAATTACCATGATCATGTTAAATATTAACACTTACAAGGGTCTAGCTTCTGTGCTGCTCTATGACATGAAGCTTTATCAAAAGATTCTTTACGGTCACGATACAAGCTCAACTGCTTCATCATCACAATATAATCAACATCTTCATTTTCAGTTGACTCAAACACTGAAAGCATAGCATCCATTAACCTTCTTTTATGAACAAAGTCATCATCATACAAGAAGGCAGGGTTCAACAAATATGCTGCTGCATGAAGATTGGTCTTCAAGTGCTTATCCCATCGGGCTTGGATTATATCTGTGTAAGGCTTGTATTGGTCTTTCTTATTGGTGAAGACTGCCTTAATTGCTTTTTTTGCCCTTTGCATGCCTTCATAAACATAAGGCAAAGAAGGCTTCTCATCTGAATCAACAATTCTCAACAACTTTATAAGAGGAGACACAATCTTCACAACTTCAAGACATTCATTCCAAAACCGATTATCTAATATGATGGCACTAACAATTATTCCAGCTTCGGTCCTTGATAATTTGTGATCCACAAAATGCTTATCAGTGATTAAAGCTTGTAAGTCATGCTTGTGCATATATATGCTATGCAATGTGATAAATGTTGTAGCAAACCTTGTCGCACCAGGACGCACAATTTCTTCCAACCCTTTCTTTTCCTGAGCCATGACAGAAAGACCATATGATTATAAACAAACACAGTGATCTTTGATGCCTTTGTTGCAAGTTGTGACACATGAGACATACTTGCAATATCTTTCAAAGTAAGATTCAAGCAATGAGCAGCACAAGGTGACCAATAAATACTTTTATATTTCTCTTTAATCAACTTGCCACATGCTACATAATTAGCAGCATTATCAGTCACCACATGTACAATATTTTTGGGACCAACCCACTCAATCACTTCAGAAAACAATGAGAATAAAGTCTTGGCATCTTTCACTAAATCAGAAGCATCAACAGATTTTACAAATACTATGCCATGTGTAAAATAGACAAGAAAATTTATCAAAGTTCGTTGCCTCACATCTGTCCAACCATCAGCCATGAGTGTACATCCATAAGTTTTCCATTTAGATCGATGACTCTCAATAAGTAGCTGACATTCTTTTTTCCAATCATTCAACAAGTTAACTCTAAATTCATAAGCAGTAGGACCCTTAAACCCCGGCCCAATTGAAGCAATAGCATCCATAGCTTTTTGAAAGAATGGGCAATCTAATGCATTAAATGGAATACAATTAATGATCGCCCATTCAGCAATGGCCATTTTTGCACTGTGTTGTGCTTCTTTAGTTGCAAATGCACTCTTAATGCCTGGTTGGGAACCTGGAGTTGTCCTAGAGGCAAAATAATTTTCAACTAGCATAGTAGGAGGTTTTTTTTACTAGCATTACTCTCAGGGATTGACTTAGATGGAGCAGGTGTATTGGGTTCATTAGCATTAGACACATGTTCCTCCATGTCTGCTTGTACATCGACAAGCTTTCTCTTTTTCCCACTTTTTAATGATTCTTGCATCTGATAACGAACATCAAAAGGAACTTTACTACAGGAACCTACATTTCCACTTATACCAGCAAGATGATGCTTCAATCTATTTATTCCACCTCCTTTATAACTCAATGCACAATAAAGACATGTATACACATTTTTGTTGCCCTCTTTTCTTAAAGCAACATGTGCCCATGCAGGATCTTTTTTCCCGCGAACTGATGGGGTTCCAGATGTGGAGTCATTATGGCTAGCAAGGGGGGGATTGTTGGAATTGGGAGTAGGATTGTTGGAATTCGGGGTAGGATTCTCAGTTCCATCACTACTAGAATTACTTCCAATATCCATATTATAATTGTAATCTGCAAGCTATGATAATTTCAACATAAATAAATATCTAATGCAAAAACAAAACTAGAGCAGCGGAGAACATCATAGTAGCCAAAAATCCAGAATACAGTAACAAAACAGAGAGCAACATAAAGCTCGAATT